CGCTCTTCATATGTGCTAGCCGTCCCCATAGGTATAAAACGAGCCAAACACAAACAAACTTTGTTTATTTGAAATAAGTCAAATTTTGATCTCAAACTTTTATCCAATCAAAAGAAATATACATCATTTCAATTGACTATGATTGAATCAATTACTAATCTCTCTATCTCTACATCTGTTGTAGATACCTCTTTAAATAACCACGAATTACTTTTTGATACATTCCTTATTGTGTTGATGAAACTTGCCAAATTGAGATTATCGATGCACCAACTATTGTCTCATGAGATATGCATACCTATTATTATTTTAGTACTTTAGTCCCCATTACATGATAGCATATACCCCAATAAGCACGTTGAGTTAAATAGTCACATTAATTTTTTTCTTTTTAGGTCTCCTGATCTGACTGATCTAGTACAATTTTCTTTTTATACTATTGTATTTTTATTAACAAATCATTTTCATAGTTCTCAATTACATATGGTACAATAAGTGGGTATGAATGTTAATAAATTGTTGAAGATATTGTTCAAAAGTTTTATCCTTCTAATATAATGAAAATGATTATATTTTATTCACATTCTTTCCTCATAATATGTAACCATAAAATGTTACATGCTTCAGAAGAACATCAAACTATTTCTTATCTTGAGTTTTTGCTTCTTACCACATTTTATACTCTTGTTTTCATTGCATTTGATAATTTACCATCTTAACGATTTATAAACCATAGGGACTTGCAGACCTAACCAACCCCATTCCAACAAACTTCCAATAAATTTCAAAGACATCCCAACTAACTTGCAACTAACTGTCAACTATTTTTGACAAACTTTTAACGATCTTTCAAATATTACGAACCATTATTTCAACTAACTTGCAACTAACTGTCAACTATTTTTGACAAACTTTTAACGATCTTTCAAATATTACGAACCATTATTTCAACTAACTTATAAATTTTGTAATACAAAACTTATGCAATGTTTTAAAATTTGGCTTTTGAACCAAACACTTGATGTGACACATCAACTCTGCTAAACTCAAAGAGCTCTTCTCTATAAAATTGAAATTTTTTGTAGTCATGAAAAGGTTAAAAGAAATATAATCCATATCTATATAGACATCCATTTGTCCAGAATGGTGGTTTATCTATAATTTTAGGAGCTTCATTTGGTGAGATAGTATCCATTTTTGCAATAGCATCTAAACATATGTTCCTTAGCAACTATAATATCCCGCCTCCAACAACTATAAATATACCATCACTTTTGACACATGGATTTCTATATAGAAATGGGACTTGTTTCTTCTAAAAGATACATAAAAACAACAATTTCAGGAAAGTGGAGCGAACTTCTTGAATGTGTAGTAGAATTAATATAGCACATCAAATAGTTTATAAGTCAAATTAAAAAATCTTGCACTTATTTTATATTTTTAAGTTGAAGAATTAGTTAAAATAATGGTACAACGTAATTGGAATGTAGTTATAAGTTGTTCAAAATTATTCAAAGAGTTTATTGTAAGTTTCTTGGGAAGGCATTGAAAGTTATTGAAAGGTGGCTGAGATATAGTTGGTTGACCACACTCATCCAATCTCCAAGTAGCTAGCCTAATCGAGTTTTGAGTTCAAATTAAGTGGTGGCACTATTCAAGGTATGTTTTAAGGCTTATCCAATAAATTAATATCAAGTCCACAAAAATCAAGACTTGAGCCATGCAAAAGTGCTAGGCTTAGTCGTCTCTCTTTGATTTTAGAATTATAGTTATCTATATATTTCTATTTTACAAACAAATGATGTACTCACTTTCAATTATTTACTGAATAGTAATAAATATTTTGCTTCTATGCAATCTTTGGTGAAGTTTAGCAGTCAATCTCCCCTCTTGAAAATTTGTCCAGTTCCAAAACTGATTATATCCTTCCTCTATCTCTCACCTTTACATCTAGAACACTTGCCCAACCTTTAAATAATTGCTCAACATCATAGCAAGCATATGACCTCCCACACAATCCAAAACCCCATAATTGAAGCTCTTCGAGTTGGCCTTAAACACTAACTCAAAGGCATCCCAATTCGACACCACCAACCATGCTTCAAAACATTACAAACCCCAAGACCATCTTAAATCTCATGACCAAGCCCCTCTCAAGCCTAAACATCACCGCACTCCACAAATAATTTCATACTTTCAACCTCCACAACAAACCCATCCAAACCTATTCTTAGCTTCATCATAAGTCCTTTTCAAGTGCTTACAAACCCCTCACCCTTTTAGAAACAAGAGCAATCCACTACAATAGAAACACCACCCCCACCTTATAAGCTAGCCTCACCTAGGTGATACTTGGCTTTGATGTTCTTGATAAGACCACAGTTATAACCACTTCAACGACCACCTCATTAGTCTCTAGTCGATCATTTCATCGACCTACCAGCCACCATTTGGACCATGGCTGGACACCAACCTCTTCAACACGTGGAGGGAACCTCTCAACCGTCTCATAAAAACACCTTACTGCTCCAAGAGTAAACACTGTTATGAAAAACATACCATAACCACCATTTCTTTGTTGCCATATACAAATCCCTCATACTCAGAGGACCAAAACATTCACATTGAAAAGGAGATCAATGCCTTTAAACCATCCACTACTACTTTTATTGGTATTTAGAGGTGATGAAGATCAATCAAAGTGAGAGGAAATATTGATTAGATTTCATCCAGTTCTAATTCAAATTTTTAACGTGAGAGGAAAACTAGTCTTTGCATCACAACCAAAAAGTATTGATCTCATTTCTCTTGTGAGAAATCGTTTCAATTCTTTTATAGACGCTACAATTAAATATTGCAACTTTCAAACAATACCTCGCTGGAACTAGGAAAACTCAAATGACTGAAAACATGAAAAATCAAAGAAGCAAAATTTCCACAAGTTCAGGACAAACGAAGGAGCTATGATTTACTTTTTTCTCAATAAATTAAAGCCTATTAAAGGAGTTCCTCATTAGACAGTTACTAAAAGAGTATATATAAACATACAAGATAGAAAAAAGAATTCATTTCTTGCATTTCCTTTCCATGAAAATTATCAACTAAACAAACATAAGAATACAGCATTGAATGGTATCAAAAGATAAAAGGAAAAGAAAAGATCAGAAGCTTAAGTTGCATGTTCCAATCAGATAAAGTTCATGCCAAACAATAGAGCCACCGGACTGACCTCCATGGCAGTGGAATTCGATCATAACCTACCTAACATGATCACCTGCTGATTTTCCTGTCCTGGCGATTTATCCGCCCCTTGACATCCAAAGGAGTTACTGACTCATTTCTGATCCTCCTAATCCTCGGACTTGACAGCCTTCTATGTGCAAAACCATAAATTCTTAGAACTTGGTTATCTGCAAAATTGAACGCCCTTTCCATGCTACTGATGCATCTCTCAACTGGATAATCCCCATAGCTGCCGCAGGGCTTGCATCCAACAAAATGAGTAACAAAAGGCCACCTTTCATCGCCCAAACCAGGGTGGTGTTTCTCCATCATCTCCTCGTATTTATCCACCAGTCCCGCCCAGAATCCATGGAGGTAGTAGGAATTCTCAACGTAAACTTTATCCCCCCACTTGTCTTCCTGAGAAAGGAGAAGGTATATGAGTGCAGACTGGTCATCGGCCTCAAATGCTGGCCTCCCTTTCAAATTAGCAGTAAGAAGACGACCAGCCTCATCCCTCACAGGACCCTTTGGCCCCATTGGAGCCCAAGCATCAAGCAAATCCAGCGACCACTGACAGTTCCGGAAAAGGAAACTCCCAGTGTTTAGCGCAATCCAGGAATGCTGGTCGAAGAGGAGATCCGGGTAGCCATGAATGACAAGATTATATCCCTTGTATTTGCTGATAGGAATCTCGAATTCCATGTCGGTGAAGAGTGCGTCGCTGTCCATCCACCAGATCCACTCCACCTCTGGATGAGAAATCATCAAGCGTCGTAAAAGGGGCAGCTTTGCCCAGTATCCAGCCAACTCCCGATCAAGATGAGCCATGTTGTACACAATCTCAATCCCGTGAAGGCGGCAGTAGTCGATCTTATTCTTAGTAGCCTTAAGTAGATAATGGTCGCCAATCGGGTTATCACAAGGAGTGGGGGGCGATCCAGTGACCAGCAATATCTTCGGCTTTCCGCCAGCGATTTGGCTGGGGAAACCGGGATTCTGGCTCAGCCAGCGCTCTCGCTGTTGCTCCCAGTCCGAGATCTTAGGGCCGAGCGTGTACCTCTTTCCTATCGCATAAGCTGCTGCGTTCGCTCCGGACAGCGTCACGTTGTCAGCAGTTGTAATGTTGCCTGTGGAGGCAACAGAGTCGGAGAACTGAGGGATGTCATCTTCATCGGGATCAGAATCAGAGCGAATCTCGCGGAGGATGCGCTCAATGTCCTCGGCTACCTTCTCGTCAGACTCACCTTCGCCAACGCCGGCGAAGTTACCCACGCCGATTGTACCGCGTAGGACAAGGATAGTGACGAGACCACAGAGGATGGTGATCTTGACGTTATTGAAAGTCTTCTGAATCTTCCGCCGGCGAGATCCGGATCTCGTCGTTGGCAGGCCCAATCTCTTTGGCTCCATCCCCATTCGATCTCCTCCGCCGTCGAATTTTTTATGTTTGGATATTGTGAATGGGATATTTGTACGCTGAGTCTGTTGGCGCGCTGGAATTATAATATTGGGTCGAGCCGGGATCGTGATGTGCTGATGCGATTAGGAGCCCTTTTGGCTCACTTTAAGTTCGCGTATTTCATTAAGTTCTGTGTTTTATATATTTGTAGGTTATAGATAGGTTATAAAAAAGTTATAAGGAGTATAATTTAGATATAAAGCTTCAATACTCTCTTAATAATCTTTCTGACGTAAATGTCTTACTTACGCAAAATTTTCCCTCATTTGAGGAAAAAATATTACATCAGTACTACACACGTAGAAGTAACGTGTTTAGATAATGAAATCACGCCACGAGACCCAGCGTGATATATTACATCAGTACTACGCACGTAGAAGTAACGTACGTAGACAATGAAATCACGTCACGAGACCCAGCGTGATAGAGAAAAAAAAAAACGGCACAGTAACATGGGGAATATTCCCTTCCGTATTATTGATGTGTTATTCATGTGTTATTGCGAGTTATTGATGTGTTATTGTGTTATTATAACACCAAGAATATTCTCAGGGCAACCCCCGTGTTACCGCGCAGTTTTTTCTCTGTCGAGAATATTCCCCCGTGTTATTCTGGTGTTATTGTGTGTTATTCATGTGTTATTGTGTCATGAGAATATTTTTTGTGTTATAATAACACAATAACACATATTTTTGATGTTATAATAACACAACAACACATCAGTAACACATAAATAACACACAATAACACAATAACACATGAAGAACACAGGGGGGAATATTCCTTGTGTTACCGCGCCGTTTTTTTTTCTCTATCGCGCGGGTGTCGTGGCGTGATTTTATTGGTTACACACCCCAATTTGAGTAACACATGAATAACACACAATAACACATCAATAACGTGGGAGAGAATATTCCCCGTGTTACTGCATCGTTTTTTTTTCTCTATCGCACGGGTGTCGTGACGTGATTTTATTGGTTACACACCCCAGTTTGAGGATGGCTACCCATGCGAACATAATGATCTGGCCGTTGCACTGGCGCGTAGGTCGATATTTGCGGCCGGAATGCGAGGATGGATTGGGCCTAAAATATTTATTTAGAAATTCTCCGGTTTTGATGGCGGAATTCGCACACGGCTTTGAGGTCAACGGCTGTTCGTATGAGGAGTTCTATGCATGCCATGTTTGCGACTGTCACGTCTAATTAATTAATTAAGAGGCTTAAAGCTATAAAAAATGCACATTTACTTGAAATACAGTGGTATGTGATTTTTAGTTTCTCATGTGAATTTGCATGTCATCTTTCTTTCGCTCAATTTTCTCGAGATAGCTAAAAGAATGTGCTAACATTATGTCCATATATAGTGGAAATCTAAGAAAGAGGCTAGCTTTTTATGCTCATACTGTTGTGTATCTTATGTCCCTTTCTGTACACGTGCCCCAGATTTATATAAAAATGAGTATAATGATTATTTAGATGGAAATAAGTATTAAATTATATGATAATGATGCAAAACAACTTTAGCCTAACAGAGTTTAGTTTTTTAGACAAAATGTCATGTTCAAAGCCTTGCATATGGGGTGAACATGATATTGCGACAAATTTCACAAAAAATAGATGAATGATAATATTTTTTAGCAATGCGTATTTTACGGTGCATGGTGAGGCATAATACCTCCTATAATGTAATTGATTCTATAACGTGCTTGGTAATTTATTAACGAGGATTCATGATCGGGTCTTTGGGTGATCTTGTTGGGTGTTTAGGTCGAATTGGCTCGTGTTGGATAAGTGAATGGGGTCGGGGTAGCCTAAGGTTTGAATTTTGATCTTGCTATTAGCGAAATCATGGGTTATTCTGAGTGATAATATGCCCAAGTTAAATCAGATGAATCGTGGAGACCACCTTTCGACAATTAGCTAATTACAATTTGGCTTATGAGTATACCTGATCTATATTGACTTATGGGCACTCGCCATGTGTTAGTGAGTTTAGGTCGATATTTCATAAATTATCTCATAAATTATTTTTTTGGGTCAATAAATAATATTTGTAAAATGTGATGTGGTGTCATAATGTATTTATTACATTTTTGAGTCATTTTTATCTTGTGCTAAGTATATTTTATTTATTTGTGCAATATACATAAAATGAAACACTTGGAAGGCATGAAGTTAAGAAGAAATCAATGCCCTAACGCCAAAAGCAAGCAACCCGACGCTTCAAGGTAAGCCCCATATCACCATATTCAAAACTCCTCAACGCCCAAAGCAGGAGTTTTCAACCAGAATCTAGAGACCAGGTGATCCGACAAATTTTTATTTGAAAATTAAAATAAAAATAGTTTAATTTAATATATATATAATTTTCATTTTGAAAAAAAGGTTTTTTGATTTTGGAAAAAAATAAAACTAAACAGATCTCATAGATTTAACAGTTTGAATAACCAATCATGAGATATTACAAATAATATTTCATCTTGAAAGATGAATATATCACTCGATAATAATATCAATTATCCAAGCGAAGAAATTTATGATATTTATTTGGTCAGCAAAATTTTCAACGAATCATTCTTCTATCTAATATAAAGATTATATATGTTTTAGATTATTTGAGTTACTAATTCTCTTATAGGCGCAAGCCCATGTAGTTAATTATATCTTAAGCAACCGAAGTCATTTAAGTAAACTCTAGATTAAGATCAAGGCTTCATCTTCAAGAATTCAAAGTTTAGTTTTCATGACTGGTCCTAGAAAATTAAGTGAGAATGATTCAATGTGGAACGGTTATTTTAAAAGGGATTTGATTTAGTCATGCCAGGGGGGTATTTGAGTTTCAATTTTTTATTTGTTTATCTTTTTTTTCTTATTTTTCCTTTTTTGCATTGGAAATTTTCTTGGATTTTCTAACCTCATTAGCATTATTTTATATGTTATCCTATAATTTATATTTATTTTTTTATTTGTATTGTTCTTTTTTCATTGATCGTTTTAGAACCGAGACGACGTCTAGTCTAACAATTTTTAAATCAATCGCATGAAGTGGTAAATTCAAAACATGTTAATTTTCTATAAACTGCTGAAGACAAAACAATCCTCGTTGATTCTCCTGAAACTTACTACAACGACATATAATCTAATGATGTCATTTTTGTGTACATCAAAACATAATGGTGATTTTTTCATCTATAGATCAAGATTTATGTGTCAATGTCTTCATGTCTTCATATATCATGCTCTGAGTCGTTTGGAGCTATGAGAAGGCCAACCTCACCTCCTAAGGTATATTCTAGAACATAAGTTCTTCTACATAAACTGAGGTACATTGTCTTTGAGCGGTCATAACTCCAAAGGTCGTAGCCCTTCCAGTTCTGGGTCGGGTCCCTATGTAAACGACAACTTGTTATCATCCATTTTTCTGAAGGTAATTAAGATCCTCCTATGTGGAACTGCTAGGACGCAATGCTTTGTCAAGTCTTCTCTATTTCTTTTAAGCACCAAGACTGATCCAACTGGCAAAATAATCTCCACTAGCCCTTAGAATTCTCCTGGGCCGACTATCTGCAGCTCTTTGTCAAACATGATGTTGCATTCATTAATAAAGGACACCGTGCATAATGGCCTCAAAAAATTGTGGTGATCTATGTGTGGCAGAATGTAGTCTTCTTCGTGTATGATGATAATGTAGTAATTGGGTATGCAATTTACCGGCAAGACATGTCTAGATGCCATCCTTTTGATCATTTTTTTTATTACTTGTGGCATCGGGTCGACTTCATTATGTATGATAATCCCAGGGTGATTCCCTTCACTTTCATGGGTGAAGTTGTCGCAACAACTGCATTGAATAGTAATCATTCCTTTGCCCCTCTTCCATTTCTGAGGTTCTGAATACATCCTCCATCTTAAATGGCCTGCCCGACCCTTATCTCTCATATTAAAGACACAGTCAACTATTTTTCTTTGCTCATACTAAGAAAATATGTCGGCATGCAACTATAATCCTTCTAAAATGTTGACGTATTTTCATTGCATCCTTTCGAAAATGCTCAAGTTTTGCCTTTGGACACTCTAAATTTCTTCCAATTCATTTTCAAAAATTATTCATAGCTGGCTTGGTTTGACAAATTGTGGAACATATGGCTCTACGTCTGAATGCTTCCCACTATGTATTGTTGGAGAAACCTCCTAAACCGCTAGTGTGTACTTCGAAGAGCATGGTCCTTGACAGAATCTGACTCCCTCTGTCTTATTGCAAATTGAGGTAAAGCATCCACTACTGATTGTTCAAGCATTTCATTCTCCCAGGTAACTGAAACGTGTTCCCTTGCTTGTCTTCTCCCTAGCCGGTCAAGCTTCCTGTGTTTGCTGACGATTAAGATTCCTTCATTGTGTACAGGGCAGGGGCGTCTTTTTCTCGGGGAGAGCCCCCCGGGGACTCCTTCTGGGGAGCATTAATGAGCTCTCCTTCCATCGTCATAACCATAGATCTTATCTTGTTCGTTCCCTGCATCAGGTTGTTATCCGCTTGGGCTTCTTCCTTGATTTCCTTCAATTTTTCTCTTTTTCACAGAAGTGTCTTCTTGCTTTCTTCAAAATTCTAGCTCAGGATTTTGGTCTCGTACTTCTTCTTGACTTATGATACTAAGTAGGGGCCCCTCGTATGTTATATTGACTTGCTCAAAGTCCAAGTCATAATAGATGATGGCTCCTTCCACCACTTTCTGCTCATTTAGTGTGAGATTAATGTCATTTTTAAAGACAAAAATCAGCCTCCCAATTGACATTTTCATACATAAAACAGGAGAAGATTCAGTTGTTGAATTTCAAATAGAACATGAACAATAATTAGTTATTATTTATTAGAGGACTTCATTTAAGATGTTTTATTTTTATATACATCTATATATGATTTTTTTGTTTTCATTTTGTCTTGTTTATGAAAATTTAAAACTTGAAGGGAATATTTTATTAATACTTGTGAAAATTCATTTCATTTTATAA